CCACGGCCGTCGACATGTAAACCGGCGGCAGCCGATCGTTGGAGAGTGAGATTTTCAAAAACGACGGCTCCACCAGCCGATGGATGTGCAAGGCCATGGAATAATCACGCAGACACTTTTTCAAGCCCAGGTTCTTGAAGATGCGGTGGATGGTTAGGACAAGGAACATGCGTACCTGTTTCTCATTGGCCTCTGCAGAATCAGAATGAGACGCTGGCGGAGGAGGGGACGCTGGCGGAGGAGGGGACGCAGTTTCTTCGGGAGGAACGACCTCCTCAACGGTGTCTGCCGGGTCGATGAAGGTGTCGGCTTCCAGCGGTTGACTGTCGTTGTTTTGCATCGCTGCCCTCTTGTGGTGTTACTCTGTGAACTCTTCATCTCGACCTTCCGCTCCTTCATTGGTTGGAACACTAACGACATCTTCAGGCATTTGTTTCCACGATGGTGAGAAGGTCTGGACCAGAAGGCTCTGATGTGTGGAACGCCCGTGGCCTTGTGAGTGAAGTTTCCTTGGATCTGGTCAAACATGACATCATCAAAAGGTCAGAGACCCCCAGGACGGCAGGGGTCACAAAAGGACCGGAGGTCAAGACTGACATCAGTTGTCACCAAACTGAAAAATGGGCAAAGAAACAGATTCACAAACTGTTGAACTCACATTACTACCTGTACACAAGTACAGGGAATATTCTCGGGTACACAGTACACTATACTTATACTTCATACTGTACATCATCTCTAGCCTGGTTCTACAGCACCAGTCATTTTCAACAACTGTCAGAGGTGGCGCTGTCAGAGCTGCCCTCTGCCCCGGCTGATCACGTGACTCTACAGCCACACCTGTGGTCTGTGCTGGAACTGCAGCCACAGCTGACATCATTGGGAGAGGGCGGGGCCTCCATCCTGTGGTCTGTGCTGGAACTGCAGCCAAAGCTGACATCATTGGGACTTGTGGAGAAAACCAACTATTCACACTCTCATTCACACTATGGTCACATTAGTGTGAATTCACCTGATCCTCAACCTGGAGAACCTGGAGACTAAACTCTGTATTGAATTATTGATGATTTATTGACATGATTCTTTACTAATACTTCATCAAAAATGAATTATGAATATAACAGTGAAATACTGCGCTGTACTGTACTTTATACTGACTGAGTACTTTGTCGGCTACACAGACAACAGACAATTAACACAGTCATATAATGTAAAAAGTTCCGGAACTTCACAGGGAACCGATGTTCTGACAGACACCCGGGTCATTCCTTTCACTCGAGCGTCGAGCTACATCAGTGGAGACAAGTCTCCAAAACACCTGCCGTCGCTCTGTAGGTCAGTGAAACAAGCCGCGGCTCCTGGTCATGTCCTGGTCCACACAGCTGCGTCCCCGAGTCCCGGACGACGTTTCCCTCCTCTTCTTCTCCCCACAGTTCGACAGACCTCAGGAGACGAAGCAGCCACAGAGGCGCATACAAAACGTTTTTTGTCGTTCCATCAGCACCTTCGTGGTGTGCTTCTGGATAGAGGCGGCGATCACGTGCTCCACGCTGGGGTCAGGGAGCAGCAGCATGCAGCGCACCTTCCCCACAAAAGTCTTTTTCAGTTCTCTGGTCACGCCCCTGGCCGCCAGCCTGTGCTTGTCCATCTGGGGCGTGAGCTCCTCTGGCAGGGTGAACTTGTCCAGCGTCAGCTCCACCAGACGTTTGATGTGGGCCGCCGTCACCACCTCGTTCAGGCAGGACAGCGTCCCCGTCTTACTCAAAACGCGGTGGACGGTTAAAACCGTAAACATGTGGATGTCCTTCTCGCGGACCCTGCGGTTCTTGGCGAGTGTTTCGGAGTCTAGCGGTTCATCCACAGGTC